AATTTTACTTGGACACGGCCAAGATTTTAAATATGAAATAATCTCATATTTGAGATTTTAATTTCAATACCCCCTTTAACCCCCCTACGGAAAATAAATAAATGAATGCAAGAGAAAAATATAGATCCGAAAATCGCTGAATCGGGAAATAAAGGGGGTATTGAAATTAAAATCTCAAATATGAGATTATTTCATATTTAAAATCTTGGCCGTGTCCAAGTAAAATTTGGTGCCTTGCGCACCGGTATTTAATTCTAACGGAAAATTATTTAGTTTCGTTAAGATAACGCATTGTCATCCGCGATTTGGCTCTTGTTGCCCGTCTTATACGTTAAATACATATTTTTGTTCCAAAAGAAAATGTATTGTTGCAATCGGGCCTGTCCGATTATTAATTTTAAGGTTAACTTGCAGTTGTAAAACAAATTTTATAGTGAATTATATAATAATATATTTAGTGAAAGATATAATATATTTTACACAAAATAAGATAAATTTTGAAAGAAATGAAAAGAATTTATATTTACGAAAAATTATATAAAAATATACAGACTTACTTTCACATCGTTATGCGGCAAGATATCACAGGAAAAAGACCGGTAACCCACCATCATAGAAAAAACACTATCACAAACCGCGTGGCGTGTATGTTTACGCGCCAAAACGTTCTGCACTCAAATGGCTCCATCTATACGACATCCTGAACGAATATTCAGCGTAATTCAAAAGTATATCTTGAAAATATACGCGAATATACTAATAATAATATACTGTAAGAGATATTAAAAGTATATTCTAAGAATATACGAAAAATAACCCATACAGCAAAATGTTAACAAAAAGAACTCTTAATGTTCTCTCATTCACGTTTTGGACATCCAAAAATTTCTTTAAAAAGATAACTTAATGATATCAGAAAGAGCTCTTATGCGCCACATTGAGAGGGAAAACAGACTTCTTCCGATAGTTATCAAACAGATAACTTTTTTGAGATATCTTATATTAGATATCAAAAAGATATCTTATATTAGATATTAAAAAGATATCTAAAATTAGATATTAAAAAGATATCTAAAATTAGATGTCAAAAAGATATCTAAAGTAGATGTCAAAAAGATATCTAAAATTAGATATCTTTAAGAGTTCACGTTTATGATGTTAATAAGACATCTATTCGAAGATGTTCAAAACACTAAAAAAATGCAAACTTTTTGGTGAGATATTTAGTGAGCTCCTCAAAGAGAGGTTTTGATAATGAAGGACAGAGATCCTTATATTCATATTGTCGTTCATATATCCTTCCCTTATTTGGAAAGCTTGCTAAATATCTCACCAGAAGCTTCTTTTGAATTGTCATCTGCTTACATAAAATTATATTATTAAATGGCTTTTTAAAAGTGACACTGAAATTTGTTTAATAGCCATTAAATGCGATAACTCTATGCGCTAGAATTAAATTCAATCGATTTTTAGAGACTTTAGTATTTAAAACAAACCATTTTATATTAGAGATATATTAAACTAATTTCAGTATCATATTTTTCAATGATGGCTACTTTGAAATAATAAATAAATCATTGGATTATTTATTATATTATTATTTATATTATTTTGATATTTTTTAAATATAAATAATATTAAAATATTAATTAACAATATATTATATAATGTTTATATAATAATAATTATTTTTAAAAAAACATTAATAATCATTTAAAGAAAAATAAAATATTTTTGTTTTCACATAACTGGAAATTTGTGTTTGAAGTGAAAATCACTAATAATAATTAACAATATATTATATAATGTTCATATAATAATAATTATTTAAAAAACATTAGTAATTATTTAAAAAAAATAAAATATTTTTGTTTTCACGTAACTAAAATGTGTTTGAAGTGAAAATTACTAATAGTAATCATTTAAAAAAACATTTTTGTTTTTACATATAATTATAAAATGTATGTAAAGTAAAATTAGATTTACGAAAAATTATTTTAAATTATTTATTTTTTTTTGTTCCTTCTTTAGGAAGACGATCGCCAGCATGTTGTAACCATGATTTAATAACGGCTTGTATTTTATCAATCGTAGAATCAGTTCGACAATTAATTATGGTTTCTGAAATAAGAAAATTAAATTATAAGTACAACACACATATATTTTAGAATATATAAAGCACTCGATTATCATATTCTGAACCTTTCCAAATTATACTAATAAACATTTAAACAAAAATTTTGTATATAACAGCAATGCCAGTATTTATAAAGTTTGTATTAAAAATTGTGAGAAAATTCTATTATCAAATCATATTTTAGTCATACTGTCATCATAATTAAGTATTATGATGTATAATTGATAATAAATGAACATGCTAAAATTAAGTTTCCTTATTGACTGATTTAATATTGAATATATTCTTACGGTCTAAAAATGTATTTGTCGTTATAAACAATTATTTAAAGTGATGTATAGTAAAAATTTAACTTTATATACAGTAAACTATTATCAAATGTATATAAAAAAAGGAAATTTAAAATAGTATTATTAATGATTATAGAAATAGTATAGATAAAATATGTTAATCAAAAATAAGACATTTCGTTTTCATAAAAAATTAATAAGATATAAATATCCAAGCGATTTGTCTTAAAACATACTCTCTAAAAGAAAATGATAAATAAATAGTACAAAAAAAGATAGATACCAATTATCAAATCAATAAACTTCATTTCTTTTACGCTTATCGTATTCTTTTGTCCTGTCCATGATATTTTATATGCCATTTGATCAATCAAGGTTGCAGTTAAAGCATTTCGTACATGCTTTTCAAACGTTGTACCACCAATGTTTTTAATCATTTTTTTCTGTAAAATGCAATAATATTTTGATTAAGAATATGTAATAACATTTTTGATGCCAAAATTAATTAGAAATAAATTAACAAGACATAGTTTAATTAGAGTACACACACACTAAAATTAAATAAATGTTGAAATACAATAACAAAACACTTACATATTGTGAACGAGCTACAGCATCTTCCTTCAGCAATATTTCAATATCGTTTAATTCCTTTTCTGTCGTAATAGGCAAGTTTAAGGTCAGATTATTGGTATCATTGCGAGGCCCTTCACTTATATCCAATACAAGAAGATAAATAGAATTTATTGCTTTTTTAATTGCTTGAATATCTGTACGACATGGTGCTATAAAAAAATCAGATATAATAAGACAATTTAATTATTGAACAGACAAAAATTTGTAATTGTATTTACTGCAACATAAGTCATGATGTTCATGTGTATGTTGTTTGTTTCGTCCTTCAACATTGGTTTGTGGATGTGCATAATTTTTATCGAGCCTAATATCTGAAATTTGTTTTGATATATTAACTGTTAGAGGTACGACAATTCTATCAAAATAACAGAATAATTTATAAGTCATATATATGTAATTCACATTACATCATATTATTAATATTTATTGAATGTATGAAGCTTACTGGTTTCAACGATACTACGAATAATTGGTTTCTCTTTTAATTGATATATTTTCTTGTTATCCAATTGAGATGAATCTACAAAGAAAATTATTGTGTTAAAAAATATTTAAAAAATTAATATTATTATAAATTTATTCCAAATTTCTGTATTTTTTAACTTACCAAATTCATTTTGTCGCGTCGATGTTTGATTTGTATTATTTACATCATCTTTTACTTCAAACATATCTTGTGTTTCATTATTATATTCTTTAACATTATTGTTTATTGGCTCATTCTCAAATTCTTTTAATATTAGAAATGAATCCTGAGAAAAGAGATCTCCATATTCCAGAGGTAGACTTTCAGGAACTGTTATCAAATTGTTGTTTTCTTCACTATTATTAAAACTGTTTGATACACCTATGATAAATATATTAATTAAGTGAACCATTAATTTCAAAATATATAAATATTTAAATTTTATCGAATCAATACAAATATAAATTTAAATCGCTGCACGCACAATAAAAAAATATTAGAAATAAATCATTTATGTGTTCAAAATAATATAGAATACAATTATTTTAATAATTATTAAAAACATTCTTACAAATAAATGAATCGATCTTCTAATATAATGCAAATACAAATAAATAGAAAGAATGTTTCTTTTAAATTTATTCTAAAGTAATAGCATGCCCTTTATTAATCAAGCCGAATAATTAGAATGATTTGATATACTTAATTTTTCATAGAATAAATTACAATAATATGATTTTGAGAAAAAAACTTTTTATGTGTTAAGTATAATCTCAAATAAAAGTCTATTAAACTTACCTATATTACACACTTAACGTTTAATACCGATTTGAGGAAAAATTATGTTGCAACTCGTTACAGCTCGTAGAAGCACATACATAAAAAATTATAAAAAATCCGGCTCTCTTTCCAATTTTGATAGCGATTATATGTTTGATGGTATACTCCGTATACACTCCGTCTAAACCGCAATTATGCGCAGATCTTCACGATATTATTTAATCACTAATATATTTAATCACTAATATATATATATATATATATATTATATATATACATATATATATGAAACACAGTTTGAAACCTTCAGCGATCGATACACACATAAATAGTTAAATACTTATATAAATATATTTATGATAATGTTATCATTTCTCTAAATATAATTTTTAATATTACTTTTTATATTTATATAAATTACATGTAATAGCTTTGTTATCATTTTAAAATCAATTTTTATTTTACAAAGACGAATTATATAATATAAACATAATATAAATTAGAAGTACTTTTATATGTTTGAGTAATTTTTTTACACGCATGAAATGGAATATGATTAATAAGAAAATAATCTTTTTGATTAGTTGTTAAAATATAAAGTATGTTTATAAATAAAGTTTATATCGATATATATGACAAAATAAAATCAGTAAAAGTATAATAGCTTTAAATTATTAATTATATTATTTTCTATATTATGAATTGGAAATAAAATAATCGTTTTAATTATATGAATGTAGCAAAGGCAAGAAACAATATGATTTCTTATATGGGATACATACAGCTTTTCTGGTAACATTATTTGCATCAAAATTTGTTGAATGAGACCATTGATTCCCGATTACAATATCAAACTCCTTAGAATCAATAGGATAATTTGGAAATCCTATAGGATTTATCAATGATTCTCCAATTAAAATAGGATTGTCATTATTTAAACAAATATTTTTAACGCGTACAATAGTGTCATCTTGCAAATAACAAAACTGATCCGCTTTATTTATTGTTGATAGTGTAAATTTATTGTAATGTATAGTATTATATGAAGCAATACCAAGTTCCTCGGATTTTTTATTATTTTTACACATCACTTTAGGTTTCTCGAAAAAAATAATCTTTTTTTTTAAATTACATGCAACATGTTCTACAATTCGATTGTGTAGCTGTTGTAAAGGTTTTTCTGCTTTTTTAAGTTTTTTTTTAATATTATATAAATAACTCTCAAATGAAAAAGCACTGAATGAATCGAGATGACCAAATTTTAAAACATCATCGGCTAAATGAATTAAATTGTGGGTATTATATATCAAAAAATTAGTACCAAACAATTCAATACATTTTTCCACAAAATAATTCAATAAATCTTTCGCATATTTATTATTTCTTTTGCAATCTGTTTCGTGACAAAGAATCCTGATTGCACAATGTAATGAAATAAAATGGATCAAATATTTCTTTGGTAAATAATTTTGTAGAGCAACTGGACCTACATACAATAAAAATAATCTTAATTCAGTCGCTTTCCATCGATCCAAATTTTCTAATTCACGAGTTTTTCTTGCAAATTCAGATGGAATCCATTTGGCTATTGTTTTTAAATTTGCAGATATTTCTTTGATCATTTTAGCAGAAAACTTTTGTTTATGAGAGCCATGTGTAAAAGTTTGTAAGATTTTTTTTACAACTCCGAGGCAAATCAGATGCATGTAATCAAGTGGGAATTGCGAAACCATCCCTAAACCTGTTTCTTCAAACGGTGATGTTCCAAAATGATGCTCTTCATCAATACGTTGGATAAAGTTTTCATCTATTCTTAAAGCCGCATTTGAATTCAAAAATAACATACGATGATTATTATAATTTCCCTCTTCTCTACATTTTCCACATCCAAAGTAACCATTGTGACTTTTTGTGCATGTAACAAAAGACCGTGCTGGACTGTCACAAATTACAGCTCTAATTGTAATTGTGAATTTTTGGTTGCAATAATAAAATCCACTCTGATGTAAAACGTTATATTCATCAATAAATTCTCTCAGAAATGTATTACAGGAATTAGGTTTCTCATTTCCATGATAAGCTCCAATTACAAATGGCTCAGCAATTTTTGGATACATTTCTCCCAGAATGGGATAAAGTTGACTTTTTGAACTTTTGGCTATTGGCAACCCATCAATATTTATATTTATCTGAATATTAGTAGATATTCTGTCGATATCAATAATTTTCAATTGATCAAGCAAGGCATTTTTTAAACCATAGTGAAAATATTCACCTGGTGGTACACTACGAATTATTGTTGATTTTGGGGTTCCAAGTAAAGTTCGTGGATCTAAAGGCAAATTGCGTAATTCATCTAATTCTACATTTTTTAATATTTTTAGAAGAGCGCCGGTTGCTTCATGGGTTATACCATAACTACATACCCAACGTGCCATTACTTTATTAAAATTTTTAGATTTTTTATTTTCAAAAAAATTATCTGTATTAATCTGAATTTCATCTATTGATGAGTCACTTAGAAAATCATTGTAATTATTTTTAATATCTATGCAATTTATTGATTCTTCTAAGACATGATTGATAGATTTTTTATCATCTTCCAACCAGTCATAAAGAGAAGAAGAAGAAGTAGAAGATTTATCATCTTGAAATTCGAAATTATTTATTGTTTCTCCTATTGTTTTGCCACATTTTATATTTTTGCATGTTATTAATACTGAATTATTTTCATTATTGTCCAAAGAATTACACATTTTTTTTAGGCGTCTATTTTTTTGGCTTTTAGATAAATGTTTAAATAATTTTTGTTTTAACATTTTAAAAATTGAAGGTGACCTTCACGTGACCTTCAAACAATTATCCAAGGTCAAATAAATGCCACTATAATCTTATGTCCCCTTTGAATAAGCCATACAATATTATTTCATCCGTGAGTTAAAATGGGACACCCTGAATATATTAATTGCAGTAATATTAATATACTTATTATGATTTTTCGAAATATAATAGATAATTAGTGACCCAATGAAAAATGATACTTAATTGTACTTGTAAATTTTTCTTTAAACTTGATTAATAAGTCCAACAAATTATTTCATGCACGTACACACACCGCGTTGTTGTATTATTTTTTAAGGTTATCTACACTACTACAGTGCGCATGCGCATTTATATTACAAATTTATCACTTTCAAGATGACATTATGATGTCAATATGAAGAGATTTTAATAGACTTCCTACAAAAGATGTCTTTTAGATATCTTATGTAAGACACTTCTCAAACAAGATATCTTTTAGATCTCTTGATATGGACATCTTAATATATTTATCTAATAGATATCTTTTTTCATTCCTCAAAAAGTTACCTTTAAAAAGATATCTTAAAGAGATCTTTCTGACATATATGCTGTGTGGGAATATACTGTGAGAAATATTAAAAGTATATTCTAAGAATATACGAAAAATAATATATTGCAAGAGATATTATAAAGATATTCTCAGTATCTTATGTATATTGCGTAGATTAACAGTATGTGTACAGAATATTCGAATGATATCATGTGCTGTGTGGGTATATATATATATATATATATATATATATATATATGTATAAATAAATAAAAATTTTAAATGCTGCTATATATATATATATATATATATATAAATCATTGCCAGAATTTGTTGTTTTGGGCTTGAAATTGTTAAAACTTATTATATATACAATTATATAATTTATTGAGAGGTTAGATTATCTGTCATCCCCCAGAAAGAAAACGACAAGCATCAAATACTATAAAAAACCGTAATAATTAATAATTATCAATACTAAAGTAACCGTAATACTAATAATTATTAATTATAATAATAAAATTATTCTTACACTTGCTTACTATAGTTGCGTCGTTTGGTATAGGATATTATAAAGTTTATGCATACGGTCTTATGTATTGCATTGTGCGTTGCTGCGCGTTCCGTTATGCGCTATGGTTTATGCTTATGCATTATGTAAAGCCTGTGCTCCCAGCTTAACTCTTTTTAAATTTAAACTCTCATTTTTCGTAATAAAGGACGGTATTCCATAGTCCGTTCGTTCTTATATTTAAGACTGTCTTAAGCACAAAGTCTTTTAAGATGCCTTTCTCTTCTTAAGCATGTCTTCAAAACTAGTCAGATTCATAATCAAATCTTGATGGCCTTATTTGAATCAAATGAGATCATGTTTATTAGAAAGTAAGGTTATGTTTTCAAGTCAGTCGTACATGACTTTAAGATAAGCTTATTATTAAATATTATGGAATTAATGAAAGAAATTGATGATATTGAAAATAATGATTGATCGTGATTTTCAAGTAGAGAACGTATACGAAAACGATACATTTGTGATGGACTTTAAAACCCTTTTATAATAATTTACAATTAAAAGACGCTATAGATTAATAAGGATTTCTCCTATATGAAATATTAACAAAAATTGAAGAAGGATTAGCAAAAATTAACAATCGTGGTCTGCCGGTTCCACCAGTACAATACAAATTGTTAATATGCTTAAGATACTACGCAACACGCACACACACACACACACACATACACAGAGAGAGAGAGAGAGAGAGGTGTGTCTAAAAATAAATATATATATATTAATACAATTTATCTTTATTATTATTTTTTAATATTGCATTTACTGGATTATTTTCTTTTTCAGCATTATCAGTCTCATCACTGCTTGAGTCTGTAACATTCAATTGTCATTGTCATCAATTCTAAATTCTTATTCATAAACAAATATGTTAATAGAAAATATCAATAAAATTAGTTATTTTATCATTTGTATGAAGTGCGATAATAGAATCATTATTAACTTCTTGGAAATCATCATCAATAAAGTCTGTGCCCTCCACACACATTTTCAATTAATTCGTCAGTAATACAATCATTAATATTCTTTGTTGTCGTTCTGAAAAATATTTATTGTTACTATTTTTTCAATTTTTATTATAATATAAATAAATAAAATAAAGATGAAATTACCTTCTAGTATTTTATCTCATAAATTTGATGAAAATAATGTTGGTGCAATTGTCATTAAATTGGGTGCTATTGCGGCAATGTCCGGGTCAATCTCTGCAGATTTAGGTTCAGGTTCACCACCTGTTGATAAACGTGCATGTTTTTCCTGCGTAAGGACATCTCTCTGTACTGATTTTAAATTACTCCATAATTTTCTAAATTGAACGTTTCTCTGTAATAATTTATTACACATTAAAATGTTAAAAATTAAATTACTTTGAATATAAAAAGTATTTAAAATCTAGCTTAAAAATGAAGCTATCTACCGCAAATATCACATTAGATTTTCTTCAGATATAATTAACATTTTTATTTTAAGCATTTAACATACCTAATTAGAAAAAATTTATAGATTTCTTACCTTACTTGTAACAATAGATATATGCATCGCAAGTTTGATTCCATGCTTCTTCTTTGTCTTTCAAAGTTGTAGCATCACTTTTTTTCAAGGAGAATATTTTGTTAAAATTTTAAGGAAGAATTCTCTTCGGAATCTATATAATGTTTTTTGCTTGACATTTTTTTTACAGATAAGTTACTTTCTAACAATACTTTAGAGTCTGCAATAATTTGATACATGAATAAATGGTATAGACATACAATTAGTTAAATTTTTCTATATTTAAACACATATTTCATTGGCTGATACATCAGAAAAATCCCGAAGATTACTGAAAGTAAATCAGATCATCTTAAGCACTAACTTCAGTAAAAAAATCTTAAATAAAAAGAAGTGCTTATTTCTTTATGAAGATTGTCTCATTTTAATTAAAACTATGAATACATGAAGTCTCAAGTCATACTTATACAAACAAGACGATCTTAATCAAGAAAATCTTAAGACGATGTTTAAGCTTGAACTTATGAATACCGTCCAAAGTCAACTCTCTAAAATTTGTTTTTTTTTTGGATATTTTTTTTATTCCTTTGATTATTTTAAAATGTGTATTGTATAAGAAAATTATACTGATTTATTTGATTGTGGTAACTTTTAGGTATACTGCACTCGATATATTACATTTGTCAAAAGTATCAAGTTATTTTACGTTTATTGATAGAATTTTTGTGAAGATAGATATAATATATAATGACTTTAGCATGTCTTTCTCCAGATATAAGAAAATATCTCAAGTAAGAAGAAACTACTTCTAAAATATTATTCAGGGTAATAAAAGTTTTTATGGAAAAATATAATTAAAAAGAAATATTGTGTTATGAGCAATAAGAATAGTAATGTTATAATAATAATTTGTTGTATAAAATATTATAATCCTTTTAAGGTTGATTACGATAGTGACAGCAAAAAGAGAGTTAGAAAGAAAAAAAAGTTATTGTGCAACCGGCGCACGGAAAGTCGCCTTTTGATGGGATTTTAGAAAGGGCTCTTTCCACGCACCAGTCACACAAAATATCGTAGCCAACATGTGCGGATCGTAAATCGGCTGATCATGCGGATTGTCACACTCGGCTTCGCCTCGTGCGCCAAACTTTCGCACTCTCGGCCGATTTACGATCCCCTGCACTTGTTAGCTAATATACTATTAATATATAAAATATATATTTAAAATTTTTCTCTTTTTTAGTGACACATTCTTGATATGGGCAATATAAAAATCACTTTCTGTTACGTAAATTCTAATTGACTAATGAATTTATTTATGCTCGCATATTCTATCAAAGATTTATTACGCCGTAACTCAATAACACACCTTAGGGGTTCTCATTTTACTTTATTTAACTTCTTTTTCATTCATCCAACTCACTCATATGCATTTATTATAACAATAATGTTTAGACATGCATAAATCGTCGACGTTGTATTTATCCGCTTTTTATAATATACTACATTAAATAACAATATATTTAGACTATCTATATTTAGACATTCGTCTCTGATTTTGAAATATTAATTTTAAATTCCAAATAAAATTTACCTAAATAGAATATAATATATATTTATATCATTAAATTTCGGGCGTTAACCTATCGTTAATTATAACATACAATATTCTAATTAAATATAAAATAATTTACATTTATAATATCCTATTTGGATATTCACCTTTCATTAATTGGTTAACTATTAGAGTTTATCTATTATACATTATAAGATTTTACAATTGGCCTAATATCCAAAATTGGTTACCAGGTTACTTATATTGGCGCGGTAATAGCAACCATAACTGGCCTATCAATGGGAATATTATGGAATGATAACTTCGGTCCGATAAAGGATAATTATACGCGGCCAAACATGGTGAACAATGTTCAGCCATTAATGGTTAATTTATTATGCCCATATTCAATGCCAATAATGGCTTTTAATATAGTGCCGTACTTTCTTTATTTTTTTTAATATTTAATAATTGTTTATATAATTATATTGCAATTATACTAAAAATAACTTAGGAACGATATATTTAATTCGACCCAAACTAGCCAAGAAATTTTTATTTTATTTCCACAACGTTTCGACCATCTGTTTTTGGTCCTTTTCATGTGAAAAACTAGATTGGTACAATTAAAATATATAAAATTAATAAACACTTTGATGTTAAACGCAAGAATTAAAAATTTTTTACATACTTCCTTGATAAAAGCGCAGTTAGTTGACATTGTTGTCATGTTTATT